GGAGAACGCTTGTTATTTAGGCGCTTGTACATCTCCAAGCGTTGCATATATGGATGTAATTTATGTGTATGTGCATGGATCAGAATAACAAGAACAGGGAAAAGTTGGGATACAATGAGAAGTAAAACGAAAAAAAGAAAAAAAGGAAATGCAAACTTTGGCCTTAGATGAGATATTTGTATTTTGTAAGGGTTTGAATTTTAGCGGGACGATTATTCGTCGCGAAGCGAGAACGCGTGATGATTGCGTTCCAACTTTGTCTTTTCATCAAAATATTTCTTTAGAATAATAAATATTTTTCTTTTTAGTCGAGTCTTTTCTATACAATATACGGGATTATTGTTTTTATTTGACTTTTGTATTTGGTAATTCTTTGTTTGGATTCGAGCAGCATAAGAGAAATAGCAGAGAACAGGAAAATAAAAATCTTACATTACATTAGTGAATGAAAAGTATTGCGGGGCTTGTTTATTAAAGCAAACAGCCAACAGAGTGCATAAGAGTTGGTTTTATCCATTTAAAGGTAAACGTTTTTGTTGCCGAACAAAAAGTTTGAAACAAAACCAACAGAGAAGAGTCCTGGTAAATTATTTCGGATAAATTACCTCTGTTTATTTTTTATATACCCATTTGTTGCTGGTTGCTGTGTGGTAAAAGCTACTCGTCGACATTCGCTGTTATTTTTTATTGTTTCTTTTATTAATTTTACCGGCCACAATGGACTGAAGTCCATTACTGCACTCAAAGAATTTTATTTTCATTTCAATTACTATTATTTTATTAGGTTCTTGGGTACTTTTTGAATTTTATTATCAAGTTGGTTAATTAACTCATTGTTATCTTGGAATTATATTACAATTTTTATTTATGAGTTCATTTGTAAATATTTTTTTATTATAACTATGATAACAAAAAATTTTTTTATAATAATATTAATAATAATAACTAGCAGTTTTGCAGTCATATGTGACTTCTGTGAGTTGTGAATTATAAATAAATAAAATTGTGCTTTATTACATAATGAATTTTGTTAAATTGCACTGTACATTCTTAACTACTGACATTTTTAAAGATATAAGCTCATCCCGATGTTACTCTCATCAAGAGCTTTCATCTGAGTACCCACATGCATTTTGATATATTTTTCATATATACAAATATATAATATATATTTTTAAGATATAAGCTCATCCCGATGTTACACTCATCAAGAGCTTTCATTTGAGTACCCACATACATTTTTGATATATTTTTCATATATATATATATATATATGAAAAATTGATGTGGGTACTCAAATGAAAGGTATTGATGAGTGTAACATCAGGATGAGCTTATATCTTTAAAAACTTCAATTGTTGACAAGATACAAGGTCATTTCTTAATTATGTATCTAGAGATTGAGCATTTTCGGAAGCAGCCTTAATACTTATTATCGTAAATTGACTACATATCGGTGAGAATGATATGAAATTTTGAAAAGGCACAAATTCAAGTCACGACCTTTGCAATGACACTAAATTTCACTAAAAAAACGAATTCTATCATACGACTATCCTAGAGACAAAATTTTTTTTATTCTCTTAATAATATAGATAATAATAATAATTTATAAAATTAAAAAAAAATATATTAAATTTTTACGAAATATCTGAGCCTATAACAATCTTTAAAAAATGAAATTAATCAAAAAAATAAGTTATGTCAATTACACAGCCCCTCAACGATCCCTTCAAATTCCGTAGGTCGTTTTTTTGTGTTTACTATAGCCCTTCATACCGCTTTCGCGATCCCTCAAAACTTCAGAGGTTTTTTGTGTTAAGTATAGTAGCTCTCCAAAAATGGCAAATGAGCAATTTCTTGAGCAATAAAACTAAAAAACAAATTACAAAAAAATACAATAAAAATTGTCGAACAAGTAAAGATAACTAGACATACAGGACATTGTCAGTTGGAGTTAGAGATTAAAGTATAAGTAAATGAAAAAAGTAACAGAAGGACAAAGGAGATGTAAAAATAGTGAGTGTAAAATAGTTGTAAAAAAGGTGTTTAACTTATCTATTTAACAGGGTGGTGGCAGACTACCGCTTAGCCGTTTGTTTAAACAAACGTTAATTCCTTATGGACGGTTCGGGCAAAGGGAACTTGAAAGAGGGCGAATGATAATAATAAACGTTGCGCCCTCGAGTCTCTGGTCGTGTGGCGGGACCTTTGATCTCTCGCTTCGTTTGTGCGTTTAAACACGCTTTTCCGAGTACTGAAGAGCTAAAGAGTAAAAAAAGACCTAACCGGCTAGGCTGAGAGCGAGTCCAAGATCGCGGCAGCAGGCTCAAAAATTAAAAGAGTCAAGAGTCGCTCTCAAGTTGTACCGAGCCAGATACTAATACCGACTTGAGTTGAGTGAAAATTTTACTGGGCGAGCTTAAGGCAAGTTAAGAGACCTTAAGAAAAATGTGACGATTCCTAACGAGCTTGTATTTGTACTTTGTGTTTATTTTTATTTTTTATTTGCTGAACTTAATAGCCTATCAATTAATTTAGATCTTAATTTTAATCCTCTTCTGTTCTATTGATTTTTATTTTATTATTTTTTAATTCATACAAAAAAATAGGTGTCCCGTGAAAGAATCTTTCAATATGGCTTGATATGCATATAAATAATTTTTTTAATATGGCCATATAAAACCTGATGTGTTTTGGCCTACATAATTTTTCAATAAGGTCATATAAGGACAAATCAGGACATATTCAGTCACATCAAAATATATTAATCTAAATATGGCCATATTTTGCCATATGAAGCAATATATTTAGTGATATGGCCAATTTACATTTAACGACATATATGGCCATACAAAAATATGGTCATATAAAGCCATATGTGCAATGATATGTCCAATTTACATTTAAGGACATATATGGTCACACAAAAAATATGGCCAGGTTTTGCCATATAAATCCATGTAACATACCTAGATAGTTACATAGTGATATGGCCAATTTACATTTAACGACATATATGGTCATACAAAAATATGGCCATATTTTCCATATAAAGCCATATGTGCAATGATATGTCCAATTTACATTTAAGGACATATATGGTCATACAACAAATATGGCCATATATGTAGTGATATGGCAAGTTTACATTTACGGACATATATGGTCGTACAAAAAATATGGCCATATAAATCCATATATGTAGTGATATGGTAAATTTACATTTAAGGACATATATGGTCATACAACAAATATGGCCATATATGTAGTGATATGGGAAGTTTACATTTAAGGACGTATGTGGCCATAAAAATATGGTCATATTTTGAGATATATGTAGTGATATGGCAAATTTACATTTAAGGACATACATGGCCATACAAAAAAATATGGCCATATTTTGCCACATAAGCCATACATTAGTAAAAATTTTTATATCAGGCCATATTAGACAATTTTTTCACCGTCTGATATGGCCTAATACGACCAGATTAAATCAGGGAATATACGGCCTATATGAAAATTTTTCCACGGATATTTTTTATTCCTATTTATTACAGTAAATATTTACTCTTTGCCTGGTTAAATGTAACATTAATTATTTTTGCCATAAAAATAGTAAAATATTAATTTAAGATTGAATAAAAAATGAAGCTTGTTACTATTTAGAATAGTAAAGATTAGTATTTTATTTCAACCCCATGAAACTAAGAACTGAGAATATTGACGGGCTTTATGTTGTTATCATTATAAACTTGTAAAACAAGTTGACATCTATAATGTGATACATATCGATGAAGCCGCAAATGTGTATTCGATACTCGTAAATTGCTTTTGACTCATCCTCATCACTCCCCCATTACCATTACACACCACACACTATCAACTGAGAAGCAACCCCCGTATCCCGTATCCCGTATGTTAGTCTCCTCTCTTGTCCTCCTGCATTCTCTCTTTATGTCGTGTACCCACGTCGACATCTACATCAGAACATCACCGACCAATCGTAGCGCAATTCTATTTACACAGCCTTCGGGCTTAATCCGACTCGCAAAAACTACCATCGTCTTTTTCTGACTTAACTTTGCGACAAAACTCACGAGTCATAACAAAAAAGAGGAAAAACTAAAATTAAACCAAACATTATAAAAGAGAAGAGGGTTTATTTTATTCTCCCAAAAAAGCTTGCATCGATTGTCCTGACGTTCTGCGTTACTCTGTCTGTATACCGAGTGCACTCACGTCGTCTCAAGATCTTTCCATTCCCTTTTTTTATATTTCTATTTCTACTTCTACTTCTGCATCCCTTTTTCTCCTTATTTTATTCGTTTCTTCTTCTTTCTTTACCTCTAATCTATCCTTCTCGTTCTATTTATTATCTTCCTTTTTGTAGAAACGATTCGATTAATTTTAAACGACCAAAGGGCTCTGACATTAGATACTGCCTTTTTACTCTCCTTTAAATCAATATCCAATCCGCTTAATGAAATTCTGGGTTTAAAGAATTCTATGAGAGAAAAACTCTCCAGAATTTATTAATTTGTTTTACATTGTTTTTATTCCGAGGAGTTTTAAATCAATAATAATAATTATTTTAATGAATTACAGCTTTAATAAAAAAATAAAATAATTTTCAAACCAAAAAATTCATTTTATATTTAAATAAAAGTCTGGTACTTGATAAAATAATTATAAATATTTTATTGAATTTTTTTAAGAATAAATTTATAAAAAAAATTTCTTTAAAAAATACCAAACGCTTTTTTTTACAATAAAATTATTTTTTTTTTAATTTATTAATTAAAAATCATTTTCTACTTTTTAGTTTGATTTGTTCTTTAATTTTTTTAAATAATTAATTAAAATAAAATTATATTTAACTTTCGGAAAGTAATTGAAGATCTACGTTAAATAAATAAATTTAATCAGCTAATTGTGTTAATTAAAAGTTAACGAGTAGTGTTAATGAGATATAAAATAAATAATTAATGAAATGAATGAAATTTAATGTTTCAGGGATAAGCGAGTCGCGGGTAGTTCTGGAATTGCCAAAGTTTCCTTCTCCAGTTCGTCCTGGTGGTGAGGTGGAATTACGGTGCCACGTGGATGGCTCCGGTGAAATGAGATACGAGTGGTTTAAGTTAGTATTTACATATATATAGTAAGTAGTATGTATGTAGCAATAAACAGACACTTGACAAGACACGTCACGTTTTGGTACTGTCACTTGTTCGCTAATTATCGTACCACCCTACTTGAGTCTCTAATGAATAAAACAGCGCGAGTGTATAGAACTTGAATAGAAACTCGAGTTGAAGCTGAAGCTGAGCCTCAAGTGAGCAGGGAAACATGACGAGCCGTGTCTGATATATAACTTTACATTTACTGATTTTCACTTATTCTCTACTCTAATTAATCATTTTCATTGTTTATTTTATTGTTTTTATGCACTGAAAAAAGCACTAGATTCAAAAACATACTTCTCTTGTGCTTCAAGATATTTTCATTTTAAATTGATTTACAAAATTAGCTCTTGAATGAATTAAATAAAATTTTTGAATGCTCAGAAAATTATTCATAAGAATTTTACGCTGTAAATTTTTTGTACTAGGTTAAAAATTTTTTTACAAGTAAATATTCACTCAAAAAATTTACTGTCAAAATTATTATGTTAAACTCTTTTATGTTAAATATATTGAATGATTTTTAATCTTAGATCAAAAATTTTTTCACTTGATCTAAGATGAAAAAGAATTTCTGGTGCTATGAAAATTTTGAGAAAGATCAAAATTATATTATAACAAGAACAAATTTTCTTGGCTCAAGAAAATTTGACTTCGTTCAAGAAATTTTCAGTCTTCCTTAAGGGGGTATTCTGGTCTAGAAGCATAAAATTTCAGGTAATTTTTAAAGTGCCATAAAAAAAAGGCAATCAATATTTTTATAAGTTATTTATTAACATTATAAAAATACAGAAAAAAATAAATAAAGTTAAAAATTCAAAGAATTAGCAGCTGATGAAGTGGAGGAGTCTCAAAAAATTGGCACATGACGATATCCATGATTACAACCCTCCTAGCAATCGGAAACAAAAAATAAAAAAAGATTATTAATCTATAGTAATGTCGCTATAGTTGGAACTACGGAAAAGTTGAAAAAAAATTTTTTTACAAAATGGCGACTGCCTGAAAAAAAAAAAAATTTTTTTATCACTTTTTTTGACTTTTTCGAATTTTTTAAAAATAGTAAAAAATGAAATTTGGGCATAATTGTAGTTCCAACCATAGCGACATTACTCTAGATTAATAATTTTTTTATTTTTTTATTTCCGATTGTTAGGAGGGTTGGAATCGTGGGTATCGTTGCATGCCAATTTTTTGAATTTTCAACTTTTTTTGTTTTTTTCTGTATTCTTATAATATTAATAAATAACTTATAAAAAAATGGATAGTAAAAATATTGATTGCCTTTTTTTACGGCACTTTAAAAATTACCTGAATTTTCATGCTTCTAGACCAGAATACCCCCTTAATATTTTTTTGAACCAAAAAAATTTACTTTCGAGTCAAGAATTTTTATTTTACATCAAATTAATTTTTTTTATCATTGTAATTTCGAATAGATCTATCAATATTGATTGGAGAATTTTTTGTATCGACTGATGATAATATTATCTTGAATTAAGTAACAATGGTGTTATTGTTCGCAAGTAAAGATTTATTGTACCAAGAAGTCAAAAAATCAACACAAGAAATTTTTGAAGCTTATAATTTAATGCCACTGATATTTTTCTTGAATGGAAAATTTTTTTCATTATTCTCTAAGTTCTTTTTTCAATAATTTATTTGTTAATTTAAATTTGTTTTTTTTTTTTTGCATGAATAATAAATAATTACCAATAAAATCAATTAATATTTGCTCTATTTAACGAATAGGAATACTAAAAGCTTGATGACAAACGAGCACATAAAAGTGAAGAGCAAAAAGAAACTGCACATCCAGAACGTGAGCACAAAAGACAATGGGGTGTATTCATGCCTGGCGCGAAATGAAGCCGGATCCTCGCCTATAAAAGAAAGTTATCCGCTGGTAGTGCCCGAGAACGAGACGGCTACGATAAAAGTTGTCCCGCAGAATGTGATTGTCAAACGCGGTGAGCAGGCGTCAATGCACTGCGTCTACGAGAATGCCGATTCCGTCGAGTGGTATTTTAAAGAAATCGGACCACTCGCCGACGAGGACGACGAAAGAATGGCTTTTGAAAATGGTACCCTGGTTATTCGCGCCGCTGAGCACCGGGATCAAGGTGTCTATGCTTGTCACGGTATCAGAGACGGCATGGCCCAGATTTACACTGCTGAGCTGCAGATTGCTTGTAAGTTTTACTTTATTCACGCCTGGATTTTATTCTATTTTATTCCGATCGGACAAATTCTATTTTTAAGCTTTTCTTTGTTCAAAAAATAAACATTTCATGAGAAAAATTTTTATATTTTTCAGGATAACGTTATCCTTTACTTATATATTTTATTCAATTTTTAAGCATAAATTCTCGAATTAATAAAATTTATTTTTAATTACTTATTATTTAAACTAATTTGATAGAATTTTTTTTACAAAATTAGAAAAATTCTAGTATAAAACTTTTTTATCTTTTAAATTAATTTTAAACTTAGAAATTATTCTTGACTTAAGTAAATTTTATTTAATTAAAAAATTTTTCTGCTTGATTAAAAATTATCGAACTCTTTAAAACAATTCTTTTAGTTAAAGATTTTTGTTCTTAATTCATGTTAATTGTTTTATCAATATTTCAATAAGGAAGGTAGTGTTAAATTCATTCAAATTACCAATTTCAAGTGTATCGCCTAGTACTAATCAATGTCGATATAAATAACATATCTACTTTACTGATAGTAATGCATTGCCGTATCTCTGGATTATGATATTTACATGTGTTCATTAATCAAAGTCTCGATTATTGCCGATTAGTTTTATTGATTGATAACTTGTTTGAAATAAGATAAAGTAAGTTAAGACTTGAACTTAACACTAATTAATTATTTTCTAACACTTCTTAATTAATTTATGTTTTTAAAAATTGTATCACAAATTAACTCTTAAATTTTCACTATTAAATTTCAATCCTACATAACTTCAATTTAATTATTAATTTTATATTAAAGGATGATATAAAATGTTGTGTATTTTTTCCTCCAATTAATTTCTTAGTAAAAAATTTTCCGTTATTGCTTAAAAAAATTTTTTAACGCAATGACACAAAATTTAACAAATAAGTGAAAAAAAATGATGACATTAAAGTTAGCAGTCACTTGATAATTTTTTTTTAACAAATAAATTTGTTCCGAAAATTAATTTTTTAAAAATTGCATTTTCGATTTTTTTTTTCATTTTTTTTACCGTAATTTATTTATTAAAAAAATAATTAAAATTTAATAAATATCTATTAAAGTTTTTTTAATAAATATCTATTCAAATTTTTTAAATAAATTTAATAAATTAATTTTCATAAAAAAATGTCAATAATTTTTTAAAATAATTTCCAGACTTACACAACCTATCAGACGCATCATTAGAGCCATCGTTACCAGACCAAATAGCAGTAGTAGGCCAAGACCAAGAGCTCCAAGTGAGTTGCCTCGAGCCCGCAGGATTGCCAGGACCCCGCGTATTTTGGCGCGACCCGCGAGGTCACTTGATAAGCGACGCGGGGCCCGTTCGGGTGCAAGAAAACACTCTTCTGATCGCGAAGGCCCGAGTGTCTGAAGACGGAGGCAATTACACATGCATCGCGGAAAATTTGGCGGGTACCAGCGAGATAGTAGTCCAAGTGATAGTTTCGACTCCCTCAACACTAACGAGCTCTCCGGAGTCGCTCTCAGTGATGGAAGGCGATCCTGCGACTCTGATGTGTTCCTACACCGGGATGGAAGCGCCGGTGACTCACGCCCAGTGGGTGAAAGACGGAGAGCCCCTGAAAGAGACCGGGGGACCCAGTAGACATCGCGTCACCGACCGGCATGGAAACGTCACTCTTCACTACCGATCAACGTCGCTCGCCGACAAGGGAAGTTACGCTTGCGAGATCCACACCAAAGGATTCCCCGCGCTCAGGTCCAAGTCCGCGACGCTCAACGTCAAGGAAAAGCTAAAGTTTTCACCGCCCCCCGTCGACAAGAAACTCGAACTTAATTCGACGACAAAAGTCTACTGCAAGGCGCAAGGCGCCACCAACCCCACTGTCAGGTGGATAAAGGAACACGAGGGAGAAAAGTTTCCAGATCACGTTCAGGACATTAATGGTACGCTCCACTTTAATGGCGTCCTCGAAACAGACAGAGGTCGTTATATATGCATTGCCTCCAACGCTCAGGGCTCCATCAATCACACCATACAGATTGAAGTTGTCAGTAAGTGTTATCTGGATTTTTCATTTTTTCTTAAGGATTCCTTCATTAGATTCGATCCAAATTCAATTTACGGAAATTTTTAAAATTAATTTTTTTTTTTTATTAGACCTTACGCAAAAAAGAAAAATGTAAAAATTACATTATAAATAGTAATACACTGAAAAATAAATTAACTTGATTCAAGAGAAAAATTCTTGAACCAAGAATATAATTTTGAAGAGGGTAATTGTCTTGAATCAAATAAAATCGAAAAATTCTTTAATCAAATAAAATTTCCTTAAATCAAGAAAAATTTTCTTATATTAAGAATTTTTATACTCAAATCAAGAATATTAAGTTCTTCAAAATTATATACTTGATTCAAGAACATTTTTTTTCTGTGTAAGCGTCGCTTTGTATAAAACAACTAGAACAATTGCAGTTTGAAATAACATTTTTATAAATTCAAACAAATGTTAATTTTCAGAGTTTTCAATGTAATATTTACACTTTACAATGTAACTACACACAAAAAAAAAAAAATTTTTGCGCCAAGAAAATTTTATGGAAAATGAAAGTTAGAGCAAGAAAAAATTTTCTTGGCTCAAGAAACTTTGACTTCATTTAAGAAATTTTCAACCTTTCTTAATGTTTTCTTGAGCCAAGAAAATTTACACTCCAGTCAAAAATTTTTTTTTTTCAGTGTAATCTGAACTCTAATTCTGAACCAATAAGGAATCAAGGTCCATGTTTTAGAGTTATTTCGATACTAAGCTAATTTCAATCAACCATCAATTTTAATATAGATAGGATTCTTAAGAATCCCGGAAAAAATGGACCCGGAAAAAAATTTTAAGTTTTGAAAAATTCATATTATTTCAATAAAATTATTATAAAATAAAAATTATAATAATAATCATAATAATATTTTTTTTTTTGTAAAAAAATGGAGTGATCATTCTGGGGCTCAAAATTTTTTCCGGGTCTATTTTTTTCCGATTATCGATTCTTACAATATCTGTAATAATTACAATCTGAAACTTTAATTTTTTCAATTTTTTATATGAAGTACCACGTTACAATATATAATGTTATTGTTCCCTTTTTCTTTTTTTCGTGTTAAAACTAATTTTTAAGTTAACAAGACAATATTATTATTTTTCTTATGTATTAATTTATCAATTAAATAAATTTTCGGAAAATTTTATCGAAAATGTATTTAAATAATGATAAATATGAAAATTTATTAATTAAATTAAATATTTTTTAATAAAATTGTCAAAGTAATATTTCAAATCTTTAATCTAAAATTTAAATTAGTAAATTTTATAAATCATCTTTTTAAACCAACTAGAATTTAAATTTACGCGCGCAAGCGCGCGCCTTGACTATAGAGTTTGCATATATTTTCATGCTTATGATATATTCGACCAATCACGTTACGAATAGTTTGATGCCACATACATTTCATCTCAATTTTATATTAGGATTCAAAAAAATTTTTTATTGAAAAATTTTAAGTGTTATAAATTACTATTTTTATTTTATTTTTCATAAAGTACTGTTTAAATTTCAATAAAAAATATTTTGAAAATGTGATCGAAAAAAGAAAATAGTAAAAATTTAATTTAAAATTCTTCTATTTATCTAATAATTACCAAGTTTAAATTCCAAACAGAATTTACAGATCATAACCATCCCTTCGTTATCGAAACTTATAACCGACCATCCAAACTACCGTAAATCGGAAATTAATTATCGGAAACCCACAACAGCATTCCAAAAGCTCGTAACATAAACATGACCGAAAAAAAATTTAGTAACAAACTGTTTTTATGATTCAGTTGCTCCAAAATTCACGGAACTGCCTCAGAACCCAACAGAAGCCATGGAAGGGTACCCAGTGATGTTGCATTGTGCGGCAGAAGGCGATCCAACGCCACAAATCCACTGGGATAAAGACTCGACGCTAAATAATCTCGATGATCCTCGATTACAGGTTTTAGCAAATGGAAGTTTGTACATCAAAGAGGCTTACCTCAGCGACGAAGGAAAATATGGCTGCACAGCGGGTAACAGCGGGGGCTTGAAGAGGGTCGAGGTTCAATTGAATGTCAAATGTAAGCTTGTCATTATCATTGCAACAACCAACAACTTCATCTTCTGTTTATTTCGATTGTAATACTACTTAGTTCCCGTCAGTTCCATTCATAATTTAAAATATCATAATCATAATCTATAGCTAATCGTCAACTAAATTTATCTTGACCTATACAAACAAAGTATTAGATTAAATTACACACTAAAATTTTCGCGGAATTAAATATTATTTATATTTTATATCAAACATAAATTGAAAACTAAAAAATGTTGTACAAATATTAAATTTATATCTAAATATTTATTTTATTTTTTGATAGCCGGCGATGGATACAGATCAGATATGGACGTAGAAAACTACGACGGCTCGATGATGACTAAAACAGTAACAATAACACTAGGTGTTGCTGGCGCCTATATGATTCTTGTCATTGGACTGATGCTTTACTGCCGCTATAGGCGTCGCCGTAGGAAGCAGCAGTATTTGCAAGAACAGGGTGAAGGTTCGTATATAAAAAACCGGTCAAAAAAAAAAAATAAATAAATAAATTATGAAAGCAATAATTATCTTGGACAAAATAAAAATTTGTTAAGGACCTGCGTGAGGCTTAATTATAAATAAAAACATATTTTTTAGTTTTTACTAGAAATTTTAATAGCGCGCTACGCGCGCGCTTACATTTTAACCAATAATGAATCGTAGCCCGATTTTTTGCGAGTTTTGACCTATGAATAACTTCAAGATTTTCATATATTTTAATTTAGAAGATAATCTAAAATTATTTGTTAATTATTTTAAATTATATAGGGTAAAAAGATCCCATTAGTGGCGGGGACCCGATTACTGACACTTTCTTTGATTTTGCTACTTATTCAATTAATGAAATTATTCATTTCAATAATGAATATATTATTTCTAATCTTTAAAACCTTTAGATCAAAAAAATTTTTAATTTTTATTCCAAGTAGAACATTCTTTCATTGAAGTTTGTAGCGTTTAGTTAAGAAATATTGTTAATTTCAACTAAATTTTTGTAAAATGAAAAAGTGGTCAATTTTTTTTTTCAATGTAAACAAAATTGCACTTTTTTTTAATAAGTAAGTGCCACTAACAAGGGTAAAAAAGTGCCACTAATGGGGTCTTTTACCTTATTTAAAATTTTTTGTAATTTATTGTAAGATTATTGATACATTTAAAAATATTTTCTCAGATCTTAAATAAATTTGACAAAATTTTTCTACTGATTTAACGGGCGTAGTTTATGAAAATTGTTGAATAAAAAAAATTTTATTGCTTTAATAAAAATTTTACTTTAGTCAAGAATATTGATACTGCCATTCATACGTCGTATTTCACTTTTAAAATATTTTACAGCATACGGTAAAAACAGTTCATTTTTAACATTGATTAAATGGGATTCAACGGATGAAAATAGTTATTAAACTATTTGGCCTTTAATTTTTTAATATGACTTGCACAATATTGTTGTGATTCTATTTTTCAAAAAAAAAAAAATCAATATGTCAAATTTTGTGGAATACGACGTATAAGAATGGCAGTATCGATATGTTGATCTTCTTAATTAATTTTTGTAGTTTGATCAAAGCTTATTTTCTCGGTATTAACAGTAAAAAATTTACAGAAAAACTGGAGAACGGCGACATCCATGAGGAGCAAACGGAGCTAAAAGAGATGAACCCGAAGCAAAATGGCGAGCGTAAAAAAGAGAACAGAGATTCGCATCGCAGCGACGGAGCAGAAACAGCCCAAAGCCAGAGCAGCAATCACTCAAAAAAATCCAAAAGCAGCTACGACAAATTAGCGATATCACGATCAAACCTCCGCGAATTGAAGCCGCTGGGTCGTGGGGAGTTCGGAGAAGTATTTTCTACCAAGTACCAAGTGGATGGTGAAAAAGAGCAGATAGTTATGGTAAAAAGTCTCCTGAACACCAAGGACGAGACTTCGCTGCAAGAATTCAAGCGACACTTGGATCTTTTGCACAAATTGAACCATGAGAATGTCGCAAAATTAATTGGACTTTGCAGAGAGGTAGAGCCCGATTACATGATCCTGGAATTCACCGACTGGGGCGACTTGAAGCAGTTCCTGCTGGCTTCAAAGAAAAAGGACGAAGCTTTGGCTCCAAACTCCGGTAGCAGCCCCACATCCAACGCGAACTCCAACCCCGATATCAAGCAGCGCGCTCCTCAATTGGCCGTTGCACAAATTTTGGCCCTTGCGAATCAAGCCGCCAGGGGGCTGAAGCACATCGCGGATAACAGGCTGGTTCACAAGGACATCGCAGCTAGGAACTGCTTGATTTCGAGCAACCTGAGTCTGAAAATAACCATGTCCTGCATGTCCAAGGAACCTTATCAGCAAGAGTACGCCAAATTCCGCAACCAGGTGATCCCTCTGAGGTGGATGCCCTTCGAAGCGGTTTATGAGGATGAGTACTCGACGAAGAGTGATGTTTACTCATTTTCCTGCTTACTTTGGGAGATCTTCCACCAGGGCGAGCTGCCCTTAAATAAATTGAACGATGAAACGGTGATGGCCCAGCTGAAGACACATTCTTTGGGCTGGAAGGCTCACAAAGCGGCTCCTCCTGCTCTTCAGGAGCTTCAGGATAAGTGCTGGGCTAAGGATCCCAGGGAGAGACCGACTTTTGATGAGGTTGTTACTAAAATAGGGGAAATCGTCGTCGATAGTTGCTTGTAAATTTATTTATTCGAGATTATTAAGGGGGGGGGAATTGCTTTTTTGGAGAACTGAAGGTAGTTTGGCTTTGTTGATGCGGAAAAAAAATTTTTGCGGGGTAATATAGTCTAGATTATAGGAAAAATAAGTTATGCTTAGAAATAATAGGATTAATTATTTTTAATTATAATAAAAATTCAAATTAATCAAACAAAGTTTGTAGCGTTAAGTTAAACAATATTATCAATTTTAATAAAATTAAAGAATGGTCAATTTTTTTTTTAATGTAAAAATTGCATTTTTTTGAATAAGTAATTACGCTGAAATTTATTTCTTGTGAAAATTTTAATATATTTTTTGTGAAGAAAACTTGAATTTTTTAGAATTGAAAAATTTATTACTTTAAAATTATTAAATATTTAGAAATGAATTAATTGACATTTTTTGTCACTTTATACTGAGAAAAAAAATACTTTTATTAAGAAAATTTTCTTGATACAAGAATTCATGTTCTTGAAAATTTTCAAGAATATATATTCTTAGCTCAAGAACTTGTTAAATTGATTGAAATAATTTTTACTTAATTTAAATAAAACTATTCTCTTGTTTATCTATTATTCAAAGGTAAATATCGACGTCCTAATTAGCAAATTGTCTAACTCCATTTTATAAAATCTTCCATTTGTGCGAAAAAACAATTAATTTAAAATTTATTATCACTTTAAAAACAATTAAATATCTAATAAAAGTATAATATTTTCCTTTGGATTATTTAAATAATTTATAATTGGACTTTTGTTGCATCAAAATGTTAAAAAATCACCTTCTAAAAAATACGGAGTTAGACCAATTGCTAATTAGACCGTCGATATTGATGCACAGTAAAAAATTTTGAGTCATTGCGGCAAAAAACTCAGTGTTAAATATTTAACACTTTTATGTGTAACACTTAATCTGTTAAATCAACACAAAAAAGTGTTAAATATTTAACATAAAAATTTTTAACGTAAAATTTTTTACTGTGTGCTTTTCTCTTCAGAAATTAATAATTAATAATAATTTCTTGAACCAAGAAATTGTTAATTGAGTAAAACTATTTTTTTTAATTTCCCGCTAAGAATATTAAAAATTTTTTTTTCTCAGTGTAAATTCTTAAAAATATTTTATATTTGTCAGGAAAAAATATATGACCAAACTATCTTCAGTAAAAAAAGTAAAAAGATTATTTTGTAAGTTTAAAACAATCTGGTAAATATTTTCTTTAAAGTTTAAGCAAATAAATTTTGGATAAAGAAAATATTTTGTTTGTGTATGTAAGGTAATCTAGGATATATAATTGACCGTTAGGTCCCAACGGCTAATTGACACTGCCTCTGTCCATTAATCAGCGCTAGATATTTATAAGCGTTTATTATCGACCTAAGACTATATAAATAATAATAATATTTACTGATAATTAGGATGCGTATGATAAAAGGCCTCGAAGCTTTTACGCGATTAATGTAATGATTAATTAAGGATAGTTAATGAATAATGAATAATTAATTGATGATTGTTATGCGTAGATCGATAGCGAGCTAAGTAGAGATGTAGAAAACTATTTATTTAAAGTTTTTTTTTATTTACAATGGATCATTGCCACGAAAGTAGTATAATGGCCTAGACAAATTGCTTGTAGCAATTAAATTTTTCATCGATTATCGAGTAACTTTTAACGAAACGAATAAGCAACCCCGTTTTTAATTATTCTATTACGAAAACTAAAACTACGACGTGTAATAAGACTAATAGTAATAGTAGCATATATATTTTAAAGACATCGAAGTTGTAATAAGATAATTAGCGGCTAATTAACGAGCCGACAGTCCAATGCCTATACTAACATTTACGAAAGTATCCCAGCCATATCATCAAATAATAAATAATAAATTAGCTAAACGTGAAAAATTTTGATTGTACGAGTACTTTTTATCGTTAGGATTTTTTTTTTTTGGGTAATATCGATACTTATGGAGTTAGTAATTTGTAATTTGTAATTGATAATTTATATTAAGAGATCGAAAGACCAAGAGTGATTGATCTCTCGCGAGATATTTTTAAAATATTTGTATATATTGATAATTAACCGGATTTTATAATTCAAACGTTTTTTGTACTTCAATTTATTATTTTAATGATCTTCCGAGAAAGTTTTTTTTTGGATTTAATTGTGGGAGATTTTTATTGTATTGGTGATTTTTTTAGGTGTAATTAGTGAATTTGTCGATTTTAGAAGTTAGATAAGTTTGAGGTTGAATATAAAAGTGTGTGAGGAAATTTTTAATTAGAAATATTGTAATTAAGAATTTTAAATTATGATTTTAAGAGTGATGATTAGGAAATAAATATTTTTTATGATTTTTTAAGATTCATATTTTTCAAAAAAATTAATTTTTTTTTTTTTTTGGGAAAATTACACAAAAATATTCCCAAAAACTATTTCAAAATTTTTTGATAAATTTTTTTAAACAAAATTGAGGTAAAAATACCAATTATTTTTTTTAATTTACTGAAATATAATTTTTGAATAATTAATTAAAATTTTTTATCTTTAAAATATAAATTGACAAAGATTAATTGTTTAAAAAATTAAAAAAAAAAATTTTTTTTTTTACTTACATTAATTTTTTCTGTGCAAAAAAAAAGAATTGATTTGACTCCAAAAATTTTCTACACACAAATTAAATTATAAAAATATCAATAAAATATTCATACGACTAATAACGCCCATTAGTAAAATAAAATGCAAGGTTGCGGATGTATATACCTAAAGAATGCTTTGATGAGTAAAAACTATAACTTGCACGTGTCGCAATAATGAGCTTAAGTATACTTGACTAAATATTAATTAAAAAAAAAAAAAAAAGTAAAAAAATACAATAAACGGAATAAAAAAGCGATGCATAGAATTGCTGTGCATTTTCATCGATCGGCTGCCAAAGGAGAAGAAAGAATCGATTGATTAATTAAAAATCAACATGAATCTTCACCTCCTACATTAATAATCGACAAATATATATATTAATATTGATATTACGGTAACTCAAGTAATTAATAAATATATACGCGAAATTATAATTAGAAAAAAAAAATTATGATTTATGATTTACGATATTCAACTATATTGATAATTATTAATGATTTATGATAAATCGATATTATATATATTAAATATTAAATATTAAATATTAAAATTAAATGTAAACATTTATATAAATTTACGAATATGTATTTTTGGCTGTATCTATTAATTAATTATTTAATTATATACTTAGGTACAAAAAGTACTGCCAATATTTCCGGAATTTAAACAAGAAACATAATTAAAAATAAATAATAATAATAATGGTTTGTAGAATAGTGATTGAAAATTTGGTTCTTAAAACAGATTCTTCCATAATTAGATAACGACATTCCTGCAGCATTATAAATTATGATTAATCGAAAAATAAATAAATGGATTAATTATATACTAGTTCTTCCTTGCTATCAATACAACAGTAGTTTATGTATTATCGTCTATATTCGAATATTCGGTGGATAATCCTAATATACTCTAGTCAAAGTGGCGATAAACAATAAGACAGAACTTAAAATAATCTGTATAACTAATCTTATTATTGATAATTATTAATTATGATTATTATTCAAATAAAAAATAATTATGAAAAGAAGAAATAAAATTACATGGAAAATTGAAGTTTATTTAGAGCTTTTGTATTTGAAGAAATAAAATAAAAATAATAAGTAATAAAAAAAAAACAACAGGTTCATTGATAAAGCAGTATTTTGTAAATATTTGTACTTTTTTATGGTGTACTTCTGAATTATTAAATGGTATGCTATGAGCAATTATGAATAAATGTAATGCGAAAAAAAAATTTTTTTAATTAATTTACGTAATATTACCAATTTATTCCTTATATTTTTTTATCACAAATCCTTTGATTTATGACTTTAGAATAAATAAATTATTAAAAAATTATTTTAGTTATTTTTAAATTGATAAACTAAATAAAAAATAAGCTAAATTTTTATTTTAAAATTTTAAAATAAAACTTCAATGTCTCATTTTTTTTTTTTTAAATTAAAATTAAGGAAAATTGGAGATTAACTAGTTAATTTAGGTAAGACACTTGTTTACTACTCTGCTGCCCAATTTTAAACCACAGTAACTGACAATTTTAGAATTTTTAAAAATTTTTGTTATTAAAAAAAAGTTTGCGCGCCTAATTGATAAAATATTTGATTTATGAACAAAAAATACTTGAAATTAAAGTCTAAAAGTTATAAGAAATGCAGCAATGCTCAAAAAATCAGGTTGAGTATAAAAATTTTGCAGTTACTGTGTTTTAAAATTGGGCAGCCGTACTTTTTTATATAAAAAAATTATTAATTATATTATTTTCATTAAAAACAATAAGTTTAGGCAATTTTTTGAGAATTAATTATTTAGAAATATATTTTTAACATTGATAAAAAAATTAACTTGAGTTAGAAAAAATATCTTGAATTAAGAACAGATTAAAATCTCAAAAAGAATTTCTTAATTTTTCGTCAATGTAATTTTAATTTTATTTAAGACATAATTTTTTTATTACTATACTTTTAGATAGTTATAGAATTATAATAATAATAAAAAATGATGAGGTTGAAAAGCAAAAAAAAGTAAGCATTTTTATATTATTTTATTACCTAATCAAATTTATTTTGACTTAATATTTCATAGTACAATCTATAATCTATGTTGATTTTTATAAAATAACGCAATAGTCAAATGCAAAAATGGGTACAAAAACGCAAGTTTTTTTCTTTTAATATATATTTAAACCGTACACAAAAACTTACGGTATTTAATATATATATATTTATATATAATAATAATATAATATAATATCCATTAAAATAATGAGAGAAGAGGCAATTGTACGATGATTGAGACCCTAATTTATGAATAATGCTAAAATTATAAAACATTGTGATGATGCGAGAGTATGGTTTGTTCATTTATCTTCATTTTTTTTATTTCTTCTTCAGTTAATGTATATTTATAATATATATATTTGTTTTGTTATTTCTTCTTTATATAAAGTCTAATGAATTAATCGTATATATTGTACTTAATTCATTAATACCATAGCAGCCTCACTCTCTAATAGTACTAAATATAATAATGGTATAATAATGCAGTAATTATTGTTAATACAGGTTATTAACATTATATAAATAATAATTGTCGGAATAATTGATAAACAATGCTACATTACTCTTAATCCTTCTCGACTCCTTTCTTTTTTTTTTTTTTTTTATTTTATTCATTTTTAAATGTTTATCATATAGTTTAATAATCACAATAGCGTATTCTGAAAAATAGATTAGGATTCCGTAGGCAGAG